ACAAACCATAATTTTTTATAGTATTCAATTTTGTTTGGTTACAGAGCTATCAAATAGAAAATCAGCCCCTCCTGCCACACCCACCTGTCACATCCTCTCTTTCACAATTCGTTGATAGTTCTCTCTTACGTTTCTACATATATGTATATATTACCTATAACCAATAGAAAGTCGAGGTTTCATCTATCAAATGACGTATTGTATAACGGTGTATTCTGAACATAATATCGCCAGTTTTACTCACAGTACAAGATTCTTTCTTGTTGGCTCTTGTCTTACAGTTAGAAAGCCAGGAAAATTTTGAGACGTAAGTGAATTTGTCTACTTTTTGCATGTTATTAGTCTATATCCTTTGGTGCATTATTTAATTAAATAAAAATTATTAAGTGCATTACTATCTATAGTATAGAAAATTATGGTTAACTCTCTTCGAAATGGACAGAAAGAAAAAAGAAGATTTGATAAGTACTTTGTTTCTTGTTTTTCGTACTTATTATTTATTTATTATTATAAAAGTAACTAAAATCTAAAAGTACGATCTTTTTAAGTTATTTAAGACTAGATTAGGTAAAATAAGTGATAATAATATAATTAAAATGGTTCATGAGGTACACATGAGAGCAGCTCGTGGGTAATGTAATTCGATAGCTTAACGTGAGCTCCACGTTCCCCGAGTGATTTACAACTTATAATGGCGTGGAAAGAGCAATAAAAGAATAAAATTTAATCATAAATAGATGTATACTGTTACGAACTTAGAGCTACTTGGGATAACCGAATGTAGTTTCATGTTACAATTTGAAGTCATTTTAGAAAGAAAAAAAAAGGTAATTTAGGTTTATTTTGATTTTTTGTGTGGTTACTAGGTCGGTGAAATTGACTGATCCCGTTTTGAGATAGGATAGAGAAAATAACAGATAAACTATACAGTTTTACTGAAAAAGACGTTTGAAATGCATTTAGGAGGTGTTAGGGACTACACAAAGGAAATTTGAGATGAGGAAAAATATTTTTAGTTTTAACATGAAAATTACTTTTCACACAGCCTATTCAAAACAAATACTCACTATATTAATGGACAAATCTCTATTTTATTAAAAATACTTCACTAAAAATATGATTTTTTGTATGTGAAAGACTTATAATATAAACTGAAAGACAGCTAAATTTTGTGAAGATATACATACTATATTGAAAGTTAAATTTATTTAATTTAAATAATTAAATTTATACACTTTAATCGAGTACAAAGAGGTCACGTGGTCAGTCAAATTGACCGAGCCTGTGTTGAGAGAGTTACACATACCCTCCCATCTCTCTTTTGCCCGGAGTAATTTCGTCCATCCAATCCAGTCTTTGTTGAGTCCTTCTTGTAGCTCCTTTCTGGCTGGCTCTATCGTGATTTCTGTCCCTCCTCCAGGAACTACCTACATTACCTCTCCCTCTCTCTCCCAGTCCCTTCTCTAGCAACCTGACTCTGGGGTGCTTCATCCCTGCATTCCCACACTCTGGCTTCATGCAAGGCTTTTGTCGGGTCCCTTGCAGGGGGTTTGGGACTATCCACAAGTGTAGCATCCCCAATGTCTCACTGTGTCAGTTTCTCATCCATGTCTGTGTATCAATGTGAGTGTTGGTCTATCTGGCATGGATTCTCCCCTTCCTCAGATATCTGATTTTTACATGGTTGTTTGACATGGGTCAAACATTGCAAGCTTTAGGACAGCCTTGTCATCTACCTTTGTATACAAACAATGGTAGCTCTAGAACCAGTGTAAATCAACATATTACAATACTTTTCATAATTTCCATCAACTTGTGGTCTGGTTTCTCAATTGGTGTAAATGGAATATTCTCAGCTGAAGTGCAACCCCATAAGTCTAGACAGTTTCTATTTTCTTGTGTATGGTTATCTTTATGATTTTCCTCTGATCCGATTGGGCTCTGGGACTTGTTCTCGAGGTATCAGCTTCTTGGTTAATTATCATTTATTGATTTCTCATATTTCTGGTTGTAATGTCCATGTTCTCTACACTTACAATGCTTCATATGGGGTTCATTGGTAACAGTCACATCAGTGGTAGTAACTTCATCAAGAGCTTCACCGTTTCCCTTCTCAAAACTGAGTAGAGTTTCTTCTTCGACATTGGCTTCTTCAGGTGGCACGTCTTCAGCAGTGTCATTTGTTCTGTTGTCCACTTCATCCCAACTGAAATGTCCTGGACCGTGATAATGCCAAAGCCTGTTGGCATGCACCACTTTTGGTTTACCTCGTCGACCACATTTTACCCGGAAAGTCACGTCTGAGAGACGATCCACTATGTCATATGGGCCTTCCCATGGAGAAGACAACTTAGGAGACTTCCCTTTGGTCTTCCTGGGATTATACAACCATACCTTGTCTCCAGGTACAAAGCAGACTTCAGTAGATCTCTTATCATAAGTTAACTTCATCGAATCAGCAGACGTTTTTAAGTTTAAATGCACTTGATGGTGAATATCATCCATCCTTTCTGATAACACTTTCACATTCTCAGGCAACTCTTCATAAGGTGGGCGTCCTTTATGCTTGGATCCCCTTTTAGCACTACATAACTGCATGTCCTGCACCATTCTTTCACATCTCGCCTCATACCTATCCAATAAAATCTTTGTCGTAGATGACTCAATGTCTTCTTAATTCCAAGATGTCCTCCTGTTAAAGTATCATGGGATTGGCGCAGCACAACTTCCCGTAACTTTCTCGGTATAACCGTTTGCCAAGTCGTCAATTTCCCATCTGTAGTTACCCATCTCCGTACAAGAATACCATCTTCAAGCTCT